TGTGGCCAACAGGAAACTCGGGAGACACTCCTTATGAAACATAGAAAATCACAAAGTGCTCCCAATAGTGCATCAGAAAAGAGGAAGAGAAATGAATCCCAAATAGCAGCAGTGTCAGCTTGAGCAAGCCTTTGAGTTGACTAGGGTTTACTGTAATCTCATTTCACAGACAGGGAAATAATATCTACACTGATATCTAAAGAGAGTTCTTTGAGCCATTTTATACTGTTACATGAAAGTACTTTTTCCTTGTATATGTATGGATAAGAATATGCTGGAAGATTATTTGATACTACTATCCTAGTCTTATCTTTTAGGATACTGAGAAGAATCATATGATTACACATGACTTAATATTTATAAAAGTATAAACAGATATAAAGAGACCATAAATTAAAAATTAAGCACCCAAAGGCTGGCAGCCTTAGTGCCAACATTATTCCTGGACTGTTTTCAGCTTTTTAGCAGGACCGTGCGTTTACTGTTGTACCCTAGAACTCTGTTGTACAAGTGATCTTGAGATTATTGCCAAGGAGAAACCAAACTTGAGATTGAGGTATTAAAACATGCTGGTACCTCATCCTGACTCCATTTACACAATCTCTTAGAGGAAAGTCGTTTTCTTGACTCTTAACACATGGAGGCAATCCATAAAGTTCAAACTCGCATGCCAAAAGCAGGTGGAATATAGTGAGATAAACATTTCCAAGTGGATCGAGCAGTTGGAGAATTTTTAGTTTTCTAACCACCACCCAGACAAGTACCAGATGCATTCTTATGGGGAAGGAAAGGGGGAGGGGGAATAGCACTGTAGGATAACGACTAGCTACCAGTCATGTGATCTTAGAGTACCCACATTGAGAGGCAGGATATTAATTATCTCTACTTCATGAGCCTGAGTCTTGGGTTCTGATAAATTTAATTGTTTTCTCATAGGGTCATAATAAGTATAAGAATAACATGAAAACCCAAACTTGCTGGATTTTAATATAATGTGACAGTTATATAGGCACTCAAACTTGTTAATAGTGAGTTAATATGAAGACTATAGGGTTCTATTTAAACGATATGATAAGTGAGGCTCTGCCGTAGTATTTTTGACTTATTTCCTGACACAAAGCAGAGAGACTACTTAGGGATGCAATTTTTTGTTTGTTTGTTTTATTAGTGAAACACCATGAGGTACAGTTGTAGACTTACAAGTTGTTGTGCTTGGGTTTCAGTTATACAATGATCGAATACCCATCCCACCATCAGTGCCCATTCTCCACCTCCACCAATCCCAGTATCCCTCCCACCCACCCCATCCCCCATCCCACCGTGCCTCTGTGGCAGGGCACTCCCTTGTGTTCTATCTCTCCTTTGGGGTGCTGTGGTCTGCAGAATAGACATTGGGTGGCAATCATGTTTGGTCCATGGACTACTTTCAGCAGGCATCTCCCATCCTGAGCAGATCTTCCCAGCACCCTTTATTTGGTGCTTCCTTCTCTATTTGAGCTGCCTTTACCCCTAGAGTGTGCGGCTGGCCTCTAAGCCATGGAGTGAACAACCTGGTATTTATCACAGCTATTCTTGGGTGTTAGTCTATTATTTTGCTACTTTATGTTACCCAGATGACTGTCCTTCTGGGTCCTCCTGTCTATGTCTGTCCTTCTCTTTCTGACTCATTTTGCTTAGCATAATATTTTCCATGTAGTACCATTTGTATGTAAATTTCATGACTTCATTTTTTCTAACTGCTACTTAGTACTCCATTGTGTAGATGTACCAAAGTTTCTTTAACCAGTCATCTATTCTCGGGCACTCAGGTTTTTTCCATATTCTAGCTATTGTAAACAGTGCTGCAATGAACAAACAAGTGCAGATGTCACTTCGACTATACTTTTTAGCCTCTCCAGGGTATATTCCCAGGAGTGGTATTGCTGGGTCAAATGGGAGCTCAATTTCTAATTTTTTGAGAGTAGTCCATACTGTTTTCAAAAAGGGTTGAACCAGTCGGCATTCCCACCAGCAGTGAAGGAGGATCCCTTTCTAGCCACATCTGCGCCAACACAGGTTGCTTTTATTCTTTTGAATGTGGGCCAGTCTCTGTGGTGTGAAATGATATCTCATTCTTGTTTTGATCTGCATCTCCCTGATGATTAATGATGTAGAGCATTTTCTCATGTGCCTTTTAGCCATTCGGATTTCTTCTTTGAGAAAGTCTCTGTTCATTTTGTTGCCCCACTTTTTGATGGGATTGGATGTTTTCTTCTTGTGGAGTTCAACCAGTACTTTGTATATCCTTGATATCAACCCCTTGTCGGATGTGTATTTGGAGGGGATGCAATTTTTGACTGATCTCAAAACTATTTTAATTACAAGTGTCTGAAAGACATCAGAGTTTTAAAATATTTTTCATTCTCACTATATATAAAAATAATGAAAATAATATGCAGCCAATCTTCTCTGTCTCTGTCTCAGAAAATTGTAAAAAAAATCTTCCACTGCAGTAAGTTGAGAGAATTCATGTATAGAGTTCACACCATCAACATCTTTGAAAAAGTTGCTGTCTTCCTTGAGGGGAATGATAATCAGTTTCATCTGATAATCAGAAATGCTGTAAAATTCCAAAGCATGACTTTATTCATGACCTTAGAATGCGATACCTAAACTTTACAAGGACACTTGTAAAGATCTCAGGAGTAAAACAATTTTCTAATAATTCTTAGTAGAATTGGGCCCATAATGAAGACATTTTAAGTTATGAAAATATAAAGTGGTACCTGGGATTACAAGAGACATTCATTCCATGGTTCACATCTCTATATAAAATAGCATAACATTTCCATATAATCTATTCATGGTCTCTTAGGTATTTTAAATCATCTCTTGATAACTTACTATATCTAGCACAGTGTAAATTATTGCTATACTGTATTGGTTTAATGAACTAATATAAGTGTCTGTCTGTGTGGAGTTCAGATGCAGCCATTATAGAGGCCTAAATATATAAAGTTTGCATTTTTCATCAGCACTTAGTTGAATTTGAAGATGTAGAAACTGCAGATACAGAAGGACTGACTATCTTTAGTAGATTTACCATATTGGCATCTTATCGTGCCAATGGGGAAGTTGTATCATTATTACTGCTGTTTGCTTATATGCTTATTTCCTCCTCAAAAATGCCTTAGAGTTATCCAAATCTGAGTGACAGCTATATATCTGTTCTCTTTCTGTTTTTGTGGTTTGTATGATCTCAGTATGGTTTATATTTTATGACAAAAGGCTGATATATGCCATTATATTGCAATATCCTACTTTACTATCAATGTTTCCAGATAAGCAGGGCCATCCAGTTGAGTGCTCCTTAGAACAGAAACAATGATAAAAGTGGTGTAAGTGGTGTCAGGTTCTAAAAAGGTACGTGAGTACTCCCAGCTCTTACCTGAGTGATCACTTCCTAGGTGGATTTGATTCTTTGAGAAATCTTATGCCTTGCCGTAGTATATTATGCCTGCTACACAAGTGATTTGGGAAATTGAATTCCTTGAAAACCTTTTATGGATAGAAGATTTAATTAGAGCATGCGTTTTTTTTTTAATAACTTTCTACATTAGAAGTTACCAAGACAATGGCTCATTCTCAATCTGTACTCAACATTTATGATGTCTCTGGGGTTTGAATTAAGGGTGAAATACTTTATCTGAACACGTCTTTTATTAGGAAGATATATAACAGCATACACTCTAGAGTAGTATCTTGGGACAGTAACTAATATTTCTATTATGGGATTTTAGCAACATAGGAGGAGCATCTTGTGACATAAATAAATAAAAATACAAAATTTAGAACTCTGAATATGTGGTATGATAATAAAATACTGAAAAGTTGTCTGAAATGAGAAAATTTTGAAATAACTGCAACCTGAATTAATGTTACTCACTGCATGTTCACAAATGAACAATTATTCATCAATGAAAAATAATGAGCTCTACCTGTCTATATTAACAAGATTGCAAAAATATACATTGTTAGTTATAACAATGTCTATCTCATGATCACATGTAGTTGAATGTTCTGATGTATGCATATGTGCACTTCTATATGCAAATGCATGTAATACAAGACGAGATGTTTTTCATCTATGAGAAACGTGTATGAGGATAGAAAAAGAACAGAGAATTTTCAAAGAGACTTCAGAAGTATCTAAGCAATTTCTGAGTCTTTAATGAGAATATTAAATTACTAATGAAACACAAAGAATTAGATGGATAAAATCCTGAAATGATATCAGAAGAAACTGTACTGACATTTTAACACTGATGATTTTGTATTACATGTATGCTTTTATCTGCTATGCTATTTTTCCTATATCTTCTATTTTTCTAAAACATTTTTTAGTCTAATAATAGAGAAGCTGTGGCTAAACAATTAAAATAGAAATGTAGTTGAACAATACCTTAGGATTTAGACACTTGCTTATATTAATTCTGATTGGTATTTTATTCATCTGAGTTGATTCTAATAATGTGTTTATTTCTTTCATCTCTCTAATGTATTTGTAAACTTCAAAATAATTTGTCTTTGACCTCAGAGCCTCTAAACTACTTTTGTATTTATTCCTCCTGTAGGGAAATTGGAATCTGTGATAAATGCTATAATTTTTTTCACTTCCAGGGTTTTTCCGGGTAGATGAGGCTGTATTATGATTTATACCACAATTTGGTAGGCAAGAGTCTGCCACTCAGTTTACTTTCTAATGTATATTTTTGCATGCTCATCTTTATACATTATAAAGTATATTTTTGCAAGTTACCCATTAATGTCAATGACTACAATCTTTCTTGGAGTTGACACTGCAGATGCACACCAGTTAAATGTCAGAGGAAACAAAAAATGATGGAAGTGGAGATGTGACATATGCACATATGTATGTTTGAGTGTCAGTGTGTGTGATTCATACATTCATTGCTGAAGGAGCTCTCTGCCTGAAAGTGCTTCTCCCATTCCCCCTTCAGCGATTATAAAAACTGCCCTTCCCAACATGGACAGAGAAGCCAAGGAGGAGTACCTGGTTGTCATCCAAGCCAAAGATATGGGTGGACACTCTGGTGGCCTGTCTGGGACCACGACCCTCACGGTGACCCTTACTGATGTCAATGACAATCCTCCTAAATTTGCTCAGAGTAAGTGAATTCCCTGAAATGGGTAAGAATCTAAATATATTGTTTGCAGTTTTGAATTTGTGGCTTTCAGTGGCCATAATAAAAACCTGACCAGTAATCATTGGTTATTATACAAGGAGTGGCTATCTACATATATATAATATATATATGTATATATATATACACAAACATACATTATGTATGTGTGTGTGAAAAGAAACATATGGACTTACAACAACTAATACTTCTCATTTTGGTACTAAATGTGCCCTCATTTTACAGATTAAGCACATAGTAGTAAGTGAAGTGGAGAATGAGTTGATTAGACTACAAGCTACATGCTTGCTTGTCTAGCGTATGGTTAATTCCATTTAAGAAAACTCACGAAAATGCAGCTCAGATATTGTTCCCTCAACTGTGCCATTTGTTCAATGAAAGAAACTAAATCTTTTGTTTCTGAGGCTTGGGAAGGCTGATATGCAACACAGCAAAACCTTCTCTCCTCAGTGTTCACAAGTCCTTGTTCCCCCTAAAATCCAGCTCTGCCTCAGAAACCCCTCAACAGCCTTCTAAACAGCAATTTTCAGTGAATGGGGTGAAAATCATTATTTACCAACTTTCTGGAACCCTCATAGAGCGTACATCTTCTGAGCATTTATGCAAGAGAGGTAGTCTGGAGGCCTCTCTAACCTGAAGATAGGATTTAACTTGTGATAAACAGAAATTATCTGAGCCAAGTTGAAAGCAGGGAAGGGGTGAGTGGGTGGGGGAGCATTGCAACTGGGGGGAAAATGGCTGCCAAAGACCTTGAAAAAAGGAGTAAGAGGGAGTTATTTGAGCCTGTGTGGGAAGTGAAGAAATTTTACAACAGTTTAAGAACACAGGTGGGAGTGTTCCTTGTCAGGGCTTGGCCAGACCCTGTGTTTGTAGATCATTTAAATTACTGTGATCTTTGTTTAATCATCAGTGGGAAACCCTTAGAAGATTTTTAGTCAGAGGTAGAATGATAGGATTTGAATTCAGAGAATCCATAGTGCATAAAATTTGGCATTTTCCAACAGCTTCATATTGTAGTCAGTTAAAAGAAGTTTACAATTATTTATGGAAAAAGTTATGGGAGCCCTGGTAATCGAGATTGGTTGTAACAGAAGTGGAGAAAGGTAATAGATATTTATGAACCAATGGTGACAACAATCTAAGCATTGATAGAACCTTTGATCTCTGTGACGAGTTGCTATAGTTATGATATAAGAGGTTAGATGCATGTTAATATTCTTTTCTGGGATAATCTATGCCATATGTAAACTGTATTCTTTTTTTGTTTTTAAGAGAAGGGATAAAGATAGCTGTGAGAATAAAGTTATGAGAGAACAAGGTATGAGAATAAAATTATATAAGAACAAGGTGGATAAAAAGAGCGGTATTTGATATAATGATATTTGATATATTTGTAGTTTGGACTTTTTCTGTTTGCTTTTGGGACTCATCAGATAGTTCCCAGGGCTTATTACCTAGTCTGATACTCAGGATTGCTTCTGGAAGACTCAGGATCATACTGGGCACAGGGATTGAGCCTGGGTCAGCTACTTACAAGGCACATGTTCTACCCACTGTTCTATCACTCCAGCCCAACTATATGGTATCTGAACACTAAATACCAAAGTGAAATAATAGTTCTTTTTTTTTCCACATTTTTTAACAGTTCATTAACAAATTTAGAACTTTTCTATCTGGCCATTCATAAATCTGACAATAATGCAATCCTTTTTTAAGCAAAATTATAGAAATAGAGAGTACATTCTTTCCTCCTTCCCCTGAATCTTTTTTTCCCTATTCAGTTACAATTATAGTTAATGCTCTATATGTATCTCTTGTTCCTCAGAAAATGATTGTTTCAATTCAGCAGTGGAATATGAGTTTCCAAAGTGTTGCCTTTCTTAGAGGCAATAGTTATTAACTCTGATCACACTGATAGAGAGGCTGAGAGTGGGCAGAACAGGCAGGGATAAAGAAAAGTCCCATTTATCTGGCTTTCTTAGGTTTCCTGGTGTAAGGCAGACAGCAAGGGAAGCCCCTTGCTGGCTTATTTACTTAATAAGAATATCTAAAGGAATCATCTTGAACCTTACCTGGAACTAAAAGTATGAAGATAATGGAGTCATTATCCCAATTATAAGAGAAATGGGAGACATGGGCAGCAAATGATCATTTTCAGTACCTACCTAGTAGCAAAACAACTTGGAAAATACTTTTGCTTAACAAAATGTTTTATAACTTCTAGTTCTATAACTTCATGATTCAAAAAGGTATTTTAATTTCATAATTAAGTAAGTGCTTTAGCACTCGAACTAAAATCCATGTGGAAAAAATCTTGTCCTATTTTTCGGTTTTGGGTCCCACCTAGCTGTGCTCAGGGCTCAGTCCTGGATCTGTGTTCAAAGATCACTCTTGGCATGACTTGGTTTGCCATATGGAGAACTGGAGAATAAATCTGGGTTTGCTGCATGCAAGGCGAGTACCTTACTCTATATAGTATCTCTCTGGCTCCTACAAAGACTTTTGTATATTGAATAAAAGGAGCCAGAGTTTATGAGCTGAGTTAAGACTCAGTAATTGGGTTCAAACTAAAGTTAGGTAATGTTCTTCAGCTTGCATTTTTCCTTCTGGGAGTATAGCTCGTTGCTTCTTGTTTTACTGCTGTTTCTATTAAAATGAGGCTAAAACTCCCTAGTTGTCTGAGTCGTGCCCCCAGAAACAGGCCCTGAGATAAGATTTTTGAGTGTAACTAGTTTATCTTAGCGATTATTCCAAGGAAAGCCAGTAGGGGAAGAAGAAGCGGGCATAAACAGCAATAATCAAGCCAGCTACCACTGAAGGGGGACAGGAAGTTTGTCTCCTGAGGGGAATTCTGGAACACTGTCAGGAAACTAAAGAAAATAAATAGCTCAGTATTATTACACCAGAATTCAGAGGTAGGAAAACTGGAATTTAAGTACTAAATTGTGAGTCTTTAAGGGTTGCTCCAATGGAGACATTAGTTTTCTGGTAGTTCTGGCCTGATGGGTAGTGAACAAAGCAGGTTATGAGGACAGAGAACAACCTCAGGCAAATGAATGCAACAATTGGCAGTTAGATATAAGGCAGGTAATAGACATAAGGCAGATATACTGGGGAGGTAATATCGAGGGTTGGGGTATCAATTGTTTCCCCCTATACAATTAAAAAAAATAAGGTGGTTTGAATAACAGTCAGTCTAATGCCACTAATTTAACACATTTTATCACCCTCATAGGAAAATGAACATACACTGTAATTGTATTTTGCCTAGAGAGTTTTGAAGGTGGGATTTTGGGTCTTCGGAGCACAGAGGACTTTAGTAACAAGAGGAATGTTTCATGTATCTGAACAGCTTGCTGCAGGGCACAGCAGACATTTAGTAATTGGATTTTTTCAAAATGGTCTACAAGTTTCTAAATATAAAGGTAACTTCAAAAGTGACTTTAACTCTGTTACACGTTGCATCTTTCTATGCTGAAATTAGCTTAATATGTTATGCCGGACAACAATAAATGTCCCCATGGGCAGCCAGTGTGATTATACAGCAAACTGGAAAGAACATTCACACAGACTCACTGATACCCTGATGTAACTCTGCTCTGAGTTAATACTTGGTAAACATATGGTTGAATAAGTTTCGTTGTCTCAAAGAGAGGCTACTGCTTCTTTTGGGAATTGTTTGTCACTCACTCATTGAATAGATGGCATATTCTACAGCAAAATAGGTAATTTTCACTGTATTTGTAGCATCTACAAAGGCGCCCAGAAAAGGGAAGTTATCCAATAAATATTTACTAAACAAACTAGTGAATAGATGAAATCTATGTGATGCTCAGTGGCTTTCCTCTTTTCTAAGGTCTGTATCACTTCTCAGTACCAGAAGATGTGGTTCTTGGCACAGCAATTGGAAGGGTGAAGGCCAATGATCAGGATATTGGTGAAAATGCACAGTCTTCTTATGACATCATTGATGGAGATGGAACTGCACTTTTTGAAATCACTTCTGATACCCAGGCCCAAGATGGCATTATAAGACTAAGAAAGGTAAGCAGAGGATGAGTTTGTTCATCTTCAAAATACCTCATTGAAACTTGAGTTTTGAAATTTGTGGAAGTTAGGTAAATTTCTTGACATCACCTTGGAGTTCCCTCTCGGAGAGCCCAGCAAGCTACCGAGAGTATCTCGCCCACATGGCAAAGTCTACCTGTGATATATTCAATTTGCCAAACACAGTAACAAGTCTTACAATGGAGACGTTACTGAGCATGCTCAAGCAAATCAATGAACAATGGGAGGACAGTGCTACAGTGCATTATGGAGTTGATAGTTTGGTTCCTTTCGTTGTAAAAATGGGGACTCCTTTTGGCACCTCCGTTTTCTTGGCCTGCTTTCACACGTAGAATAAAGCTCTGGCGTATGATAGCCATGATTATTCTGACATCTGTCTCATTCAGTTTCTTCTGTGTTTACCTCAGTGCTTTCCTCTAAGGTGCAAGAATGTGCTCCATTCTTATACAGAGCACTCTGGCTACATAGGGAAGTCAGCCACTAAGCAAAAACAGAAAGTGATTGGTTCCTATTCTGTTCAGATATTATTCTGAAGCTTATTGTCTAGGGTTTATAGAAAATTCCCACTGAAAAGAAGCCTTAGTGACCTAAGAAAATTGGGGGTGGGAATTTGGGATAAATATATTTTCACGAATATCCTGAAATATACTTTCAATTCTTCTTTATCTCTGTACTCCTCTTCCCAGGAATATCTTCACCAATAAGTTTGAAGGTCCCTAGGTATTTATTGCTTTCATGGATATTAAAAGACAGGCAGAACAGAAAACGTTATGTTATTTTGGCTAGTGGTGGCTCAAGAATGACAGAGTTTCTTCCTTCCAATGGTTCCTCCAACCACACCTTATGATCATTGAAGCTTATCTTTTTCTTGCTCCTCAGTGTGGAGTTACCATCGAAGGAAAATATTTCTATCTAAAGTACAGCTGATACATGGCAATTTGCATTACATTTTTGCCAGTGACTTTTTTTAATATGTGTATGATGTGAGCAATTCTTTATATTCCTGAATTATTTCTTAATATGACATCTGTATTCATAAAAATGTATTCCCTTATTTTATGAGAAATTTTTGTGAAAATAAACTTTATGGGGTTGGAGAGACAGTATGCAAGGTAGGGTACTTGCCCGACATATTGATCTACCCAGGTTTGATCCCTAGCTGACCCCACTGACCCCTAAGCACTGCCAGTAGTGATTCCTGGTCACAAACCCAGGAATCAGCCCTGCGAAACACCCTGTGTGGTCCAAAAACAAAACATAAAAATATACCTTTTTATGTCATCATGGATATTTCTTTCAATTTTGTTCTTTTTTTCTTTATTATGAAGAAGTAAAAATTAATTTTAGATGAATTTGTTCATGAATAATAAGATAAATTGGGATCACACCATTGCAAGCCAATCGTTTGTTTGTTTGTTTGTTTGTTTTGGGGCTATGCCTGGCAATATACAGGGGTTACTCCTAGCTCTGTACTTAGGAATTACTCCTGGTGGTTCTTGGGGCACCATATTAGATACATAAGATGCTGGGATGGAGCCCAGGTTGGCTGCATGCAAGGCAAGTGTCCTACCCACTGTATTATCTCTAGTCCCAAGAAGCCTATCATTATTTTTAAAACATTTCTTGTTGCAACAAATAATAAATTGCATTAGCAAAAAATAGTTCAGCAAAATAAATATTATAAAGATTGTTATATATCACAATGGTGTTATTAATTAAAGTAATTTTCTGGGGATTTTTGTTGGTAGTTGAACCTTCTGTGTTATTGTTTTGTTTATTGAGCTTAGTGGATTTCTATGCTATTTGCCAGTCTAATTTTCTGTGCTCTTACTGGGCTCTCAGTTTTGTGGAATTTGGGGGTGTTATGCACTCACATAGGCAGCCCCTTCCTCCAGGACCACCTGGATCTGTAGAGCTAGGATTATTCTTAACCTACCTGTCTCCTAAGGAAGCCCCAGGGTTTTGTTTGTTTGTTTTGCTTTTTGGGTCACACCTGGCTATGCAAAGTGGTTACTCCTGCCTCTGCACTCAGGAATTACTCCTGGCAGTGCTCAGGGGACCATATGGGATGCTGGGAATTGAACCTGGGTCAGCTGTGCAAGGCAAATACCCTACCCACTGTGCTATCACTCCAGTCCTGCTTCATATTTTTAGCCCAAAGACTGGTGTACTTGTGAGTTTCCTAAGCCTGGCATCTCTTCCAAGATTAGTTGTGAAGCTGTGAAGCTGGACCCTTTATTTGCTGGAGGCTGTGTGATGTGGGTCTGGTTACTGGGGCTTTCTCCAGTATGGGGGTGAGGGATACCCGTTCCCATACCAAGAAGATTCCAGAATTTTAAGTCCAAAGACCAGTCTACCTGGGAATTTTGTTGGCTTGGCATCTTTTCTGAGAGTAGTAAAAGATCCAATCATTTTTACCTTTGTATTTGTTACATTGACAGGGCTCCAGTCTCAGCTGATTTTTCTCTCTCATACTATACAACATCTGTCTGCTTTGAATGACCATGCTCTTAAAATCCTCCATCAGCGAGGTATCGACAAAGAGAGCCTCAGATTTTTAGACATATTTTTGTATATGAAATAAAATTTAAAAACCAAACTTGAGAGTATACATAGCTGTACTTCCTTAACTACCTGCTTAGTAACACTACTTTATCACTGTCATCCCATTGTTCATCGATTTGCTCGAGCGGGTGCCAGTAACATCTCCATTCATTCCAGCCCTGAGATTTTAGCAGCCTCTCCTTATTCATCTTTCCCAACGCTGCCATATTGGAGGCTCTTTCAGGGTCAGGAGAACGAGACCCATTATTATTACTGTTTTTGGCATATTGAGTATGCCATGGGTAGCTTGCTAGGCTCTGCAGTGCGGGTGGGATACTCTCGGTAGCTTGCTGGACTCTCCGGGAGGAGAGGTACCTTTATACCTGCCTTGAATTTGGGATTAAGAGTTGCAAAGTATTTAAAAACCCTATGTTTGAAATAGAGTACAGCCTAATTATATCGAAGTCAATTATTGAATAACCCTGAGCTACATTTTCTTTGGCTAATGATTCCTAATGTCATTTTTATTGTTATTATTAACTGCTATCCTCTGTTACCATAAGGTGCTTTTATAAACTGAAGCAATTAGCCATTTGCTGTATTTTTATTCCCTGTTATTCATAAACTTGAAGGCTTGTACTATACATTTTAAAACCAAGAAACACTGGCATTTTATTCATGACAAAAATAATGTACAGGACATCATATTTCTATAGTTTATGGATCTTCTTTTATTCTAACAAAATCCTAGGGACACCGGATGTGTTTGAGCACATTGTCATTATACAGAGCTAAGAATCAAGCAGGAGATAATCTATTCAATTTAATAGCCTGTGCGAGGGATTTGAAATGGAAAAATTGTTACAGTAGGGGTGATTGGCAAATTGTGAAAATGCTGATGGCGAAGCATCTATTCATGGGTACATGTGCCTAGTAATTTCAGAATAGACAAGGAAGTGAGTATCTGCCTTGTTTGCTAGAATATATTTCCAAAACAACCAAGTCCCATCAGGATGGAATTCAAACATAAAAGTCAATGTAAATTTTTTGAAATAAGAATCTGTATTTAAGCATGTACGGGAGTTTTGAAAGAGTTCACTAATACCAGCTTGTATTCCAGCTTCTTCATGCTTTAGATCTGCATTGCAGATGAAAAATTTTTTTAAATGAAATTGTAATGCAAACCTAAATGTCTATTTCAACCTTGACAGACTTATATCCATGGAATTTACAACATTATGAATGTTGTCAATGGAACTCGAATTTGATGCAGATGGGCTTCTGATTATTTTAGGGGACTGTTCTTTTACCAGGCTCTATTTACCTAAGTCTCTGGGGGATTTAAGGAATAGAGTATTAATATGTCATAAATATTCCCAGTAATGGTGCAATGAGGTCATTTCAAAGGCTTTTAAGTGGTTGGTGGAGGCTTAGCCCTTGCTGGTTATCTCTCTCTCTCTCTCTCTCTCTCTCTCTATATATATATATATATGTATATATACATATATATATATGACTCTCCCTTTCTTCTTCTAAATAGAAAAACAAGTAGATTGCTATCTGTGTACATATTTCTTCATATCCCCACTTGCTTCAAAAGACACACTTCCTAATAGAAACCTAGGAATGCCCTCAAAATAATAAACATTGCCTTAGCCATATGATCAGCAGAACAGCCATGCTCTGTTAGTGAAATAAGAAAACACTCTTTGTTGAAATTAGTGCTAAATTATGCTTTATTATGTCTTCTTGGACTAAACAATGATTATTTTGTAGCTCTTTGCATTTCTCACACTGTTGCAAAAATGATAAAATATTCTTCCCGGATAGAGATTGTGTTCGATGCTGCCTTATCTCCCACCAGCAGAGGCCCGATTAACGGGCTGATTGATATGCAGGTCAGGCAATCACTAGTAAAATTTTATTATGATTCTGAAGTGAAATTTTGATGGCACAATTCATGACTGTGAATATTTTGTGAATTCCTAGTGAAATGAACAAAACAAAACAATAGGAAATTAGAGTCACTGTGCCTGTATAATAAACAGATATCAATAAATGCCTGTAAAATTTACAGGGTTGGATCTGGAGAAATGGGGGTGATCCCATTAAGACTCGCAAATGGGCTTAAATGCACATAAGTATCATCCATCAGCATTATACTCATTTGTTCTTGCTGCTGTGGTCATTAGTGGGAAACATTCATCTTTGTCATTTCTTAACAGCCTCTGGACTTTGAGACCAAAAAATCCTATACGCTGAAGGTGGAAGCAGCCAATGTCCATATTGACCCACGCTTCAGCAGCAGGGGACCCTTTAAAGACACGGCCACCGTCAAAATCGTTGTTGAGGATGCTGATGAGCCTCCGGTCTTCTCGTCACCAACATATCTCCTGGAAGTCCATGAAAACGCTGCTCTCAACTCCGTCATTGGGCAAGTGACTGCGCGTGACCCTGATGTCACTTCTAGTCCTATCAGGTATTTCTCTTTTATGAAGAATACTGCCTGCATGCAATGACAAGCAGATGGGTGTGCCGGGCACATGGGTAGCTATTCTGTGGCTTCCCCTGGCATTCTGCTCACATGGCCGAGGAATTGGGGCCAATACATACTCTGCGCACATGCACATATACATGTATGTGAGAGGCAAGGGCCTGTGTGCTTATATCTAGTAAGATCAATGTACAGTGGTCCCAGACCAGGTTTATCAAGGTGAATAACACTATTGCAGATTTCAGGGACTTGAAAATGCAAAAAATCACAAAATATTTTGTAGATGCTTTGAGTGGATTGTGTGTGTGTGTGTGTGTGTGTGTGTGTGTGTTTGCTTGTTTGTGCCAGTATTTTTTTCTATCATTGGGAAAGTGCTATTGTTTTCCTTTCTTTGACAGTCACAGTGAATTATAGATATAAATTTAGAATCACGAGACCACTGTCTCAATGCATTATGAACCCCCTCTCTTATTTCTTATTTGTTTTGGAATTATCTACCTATCACTTCCTGTGCATTTCAGATGGGTCAGCATATCTGAATGGAACCTTTTAGACAAAAATCTTTCTCTGCCAGGTGAAAAAAATGCCCTTGGTTTATGCTTTCTCTGCTTGGAGTTCCCCCCACCCTGAGAGAAGAAATTATCCTTTATAAAAGTTCTTCCCCAGCCTTTTTAAAAAATAAGGCTCAATTCTTTTTTGGTTTTTTATTTCTGTCTGAACTGTATACATCTTTTCTCATTTTTCCAGTCACCCAAACAGCAGTACAGGTGCTCAACCTAAATAGCTTTCTTCCTGTAAAACACTGAAAATCTATAACTTGCACACTGGTCTCCAAGGGTGAAGTGCTGGCTAATGATGTGTTTGAATGTGGATTTCAAATATTGGCTTAGAAATGTTTGTTTCAAGCAAGAGCAAAGAAAACTAGATAGAGGAATGGCGTAGTAAAGAATTGTACAGTTAATCTATGAGTCTGATGTCAGCTCACTCCCAAATCGTTGAATTTCTAAGTTAACAGGGATTCTTCTAATTACATTACTCAGGAAAACTCTAGACATGGGCATTTTCTCAGAGGTTTTATTTAATTATTACTTTATGTACATAATTCCCATTAATTACAAGGGTGCTATAATTCTTGAGTCTACAAGTAAAACCTACGTATGTCAGTATCCCAGATAATTAGAATTTGGGATTATTTTCAAAGGTTGGAGGTATGATCTGAGTGGTAGAGCCTGTGCATTGCATGTACACACCCCTGGATTTGATCCTTAGTTCTGCATGCACTTTTTTTCACAACACAGATTGTCCCTGATACATTCACCAGCACCTCCAGGAGTGTGTCCCCAGCACTGCCTGGTATACAACCTTTACCTCCTTTACCCCCAAAATGAATGTTTGCCCATATCCAAAATGTTTTTTCACATAAGCAATTTCTGTATTCAGGATAATAGTGTTTCTTATAAGAATCACCACCCCCGAAACCCAAGCACAAAAATTTGTAAATCTACAACTATACCTCATGGTGTTTCACTAATAAAAATTAAAAAAAAAAAGAATCACCACCCCTACCCAGTGTTTTTCTTCTAAAGAATCTACCCTTGGGGCTGTAGCAATAGCACAGCAGGTAGGGAGTTTGCATTGCATGCAGCCAATGACAGTTAGATTCCCAGCATCCCATGTGGTCCTCCCCAGCATTTCCAGGAGTAATTCCTGAGTGCATGAGCCAGAAGTTATCCCCTTGCAACACCAGGTGTGACCCCCAAATTAAAAAACAATAATAAAAAATAAATAATCCACCCTTTGAGGAGATAAAACTGTACTACCTGAGGATGTAAGGGGTGGTCAGATGTCCAATTTCAGCTCCAAAGGAATTTAAGAAGCCATAGACAGATAGAATACAGTGTACTTGTCTAAGAGGTTTAAATCTAGCAAATCATCAAGTGTTAAATACCTGGCAGGAAATGCCTGGAAAGATTTTATGGGCATCCCTTTACTTACTAAATCATGACTTGCAAAACAGAATCATACTGAAATCCAGATGTCACTAGCGGTGGAGGTGAAAATAGAATGTCACTGCCACTATCCTCTGGTTGTTCATCAATTTTGCTCGAACGGGCCCAGTAACGTCTTCATCGTGAGACTTGTTACTGTGTTTGGCATATTGAATATGTCACAGGTAGCTTGCCAGGCTTTGCCGTACAGGCAAGAAACTCTCGGTAGCTTGCCGGGCTCTCCAAGAGGGGCGGAGGAATCGAACCCGTCTGGTTCGTGCTGGCTGCACGCAAGGTGTGCGCCCTACCGCTGTGCTATCGCTCCAACCCAACTATAGAATACGTGAATGAAATGATAGCTATTGAAGTAATGAGCAGATTTGCTTTCAACTTCTCTAAAACAGGCAGTTTCTTAGATCTCCAAGAATAAGAGAATTGGCAAGTAGGTAGTTGGGTTCGTCCTACATGGGACCACTAATAGGACCAGTTTTCACACTTGGTTTGATAAGATTTCCACTCATGTCAGCAAGGGGCAGCTGAGGAGTATGGCACCTTACAGACTTTTACGAAAGTGAGCGTTCAGATATCAAGGTAATCATTGATAAACCCCAAATATGGAATCCTACCACTGCGGATAAACTTCTATACAGACATGTTCTTAAGCAGCTAGAGATGAGATTTGAAGAACATTTCTTACCAAAGTGCCAGTAATGTCAAATTGGCAGAACTTAGTAAAAACCAAGCTTCTTCGTCTCCCACGTGATTTCAGCATCTACAGTTTGCTAAGTGAAAGTGGAGATTTACTGATTGTTCCAGCTCACAAGGGATCAAGTGATAATGATCCTTCTTGTTGGTTATTATCACTGCTATTGTTGCTTTTCTTCTTGCCACTGGATGAAAGTAAAGATAGAGGAAGCCTACAGCTGCTCTGTATATGCAGCAGAAGCATTTCATTTTAGGCAAAGCTAAGGAGGGTTTTCAGGAATGTTCCCTGAAGGAGATGAACAGATAAAGTATCATCTGATGACACAGGCTTTTCTGTGTTTCTGATTGCTGTCAGGCAAGTACTAGTTCCTTGGCATCAACATCAACCCAAAGAAGAACTGACTACTTCTGTTTCTCAGCATTTACAGAAGGAATCTGACATGCTTTAAGAAGGTGGTCCCCCACAAGTTTGATTAGATGGGATAGGCTTCAGGGGGAAGAAAATGTTAGGATCACCAACTGCATTTTTTATCTCTGTTCTACATGTCTGCAGTGGCTGTTTTATACCCCCCATAGGGTTGTGGAGAACAGCGTCTCTCTCTCTCTCTATGCACAATTGGCTAATTTAAGTAGAAAATTAAATTTCCTGACTAGCCAGTGCAAGGCATACTTCCCTATGAGTCTAGCAGACAGATTTAGAGGCATTTAACCTTTTTAAACAGAACTGGAGGACATGCCACTCAGGGAATTACTGAGCAGCAAATAGCCATGCATGATGTTTCTTTAGGACTGGTGGATTTTATAGGCTGACAAGCATATATCCATCTTCTAAGGCAATGTTTACTTTCTCACCCAGCAAGAAACAGGTCATTATTGTGGCATCTGCCATATCAAACCATGTAGTCATTTATTGCTTGGTGAACTTCTTTTAGAAGACATTGTCAAGCAGAAAATTTATGTATTTTACTATTCTTAGCCCTGTATCTATATCTGTCTATAGATACTGTGCCAGTATCTATCACTGTATCTTCCCTACAAGGCAAAATAGTCACATAGAGACAAGACTCAAAGGCAACTCTCCCATTCAGCAGGAGGAATTCAGCCTCTGCTGCTCACTGTAATACCCTCTGCCTTTCATTAATATAGAATTAAGTTTTGCATATTATTTAAAAAAATATCATTTGTGAATTTTGCTTAGCCCAAATTCAAATCCACCACTGCTCTTCTCAGCTGGTCTAGATTTAGTTTCCTCATCTGTACAGGGAGATACTGTACAGATTATGGATCAATTAATGAATAGGGAAAATAAGATAATTTAATGCATTTATAAATAAAATATGTGTTAGCTATTGGCATTCTACCAGTTAATATATAAGCCATTATCAACAAATGACCTTAAATGGAAAATGAAATCCGCAACTTATTTTAGCAGAGATTCTTCTATTAATGTTGCTGACTGTATGCAGATTTGTTTTTTCCTTCAAGAGCATTTGCATCCTAAATAGTTTATTTAACCTCAATTAGTCGAATTTGCCTCATGTACTGCTGTGATATTGTTACCTAACTTAGTATATGGAGAAATGTGCTAAATAAAAGGATTTCATCCTCTAGCACATCTTTTAGATAACACACTGAAGTTTCTTTCCCCTCAGTGAACAGATGAGGAAACTGAGATTAAAATGACCAATTTACCTAGTATGACAGATAGAATTAAGAGGGCTTATCTAGGTTTTCCAAAGAATAAAATGCCAGCTCGCTGGATGCCATGTTCCCTTTCTTTCCCTGTGAGCTCTGTGACTCCAACTGCATCTCTCCATGTGGTGATTGCTTAGCAGGACTAATTTTGATGCAGAGAATAAACTATTCATTCTCTAAATGGTCTCATTCAACACAGGGTGCAGATTAGGAAGAGAAGGAAACCTATACCAGGTTCTGTGAAATCAACCAGAGTGTGGGTAGTGTTCCTTGCTAATGAAATTCAGCCCCATTGCATGGGTTTGTTACTATTGGCTCTGGCCCAAATTGTCATCAGAGAGGTAAAGAGAGGGGGTGAGGGGTGGAGTGTTATTTAGGTGAGTCTAACTTTGTACTAACTTCTAGTTTTGAATTATTCAACTTTATTACTTTATTGTCACAAAGCACTGTGAAATAGTAAGATCCCACTTTTAGAGGGAAGGAAGCAGTTGGTCTGGAAGGATGGGTTTTCTATGCATAGTGATAGAGCAGAGAGTGTGATGCCTTAAGAACTTAAGCCTCATTTCTGTGTACCTTTGCTCACCCTGCCCGTGCATG